CCACCACCACCTCCACCACCGGCTCCTGAACCCGTCCTCCTCAACCGTATGCCCAATTTACGGTTAAGGACTTACTAGCCCTACCAGGACGGGGGGATTTACGACGTCTGGTTCCCGGAAAAGCGGAACCAGGCTCTTATTGGTAAGTAAAAATTTGTTTATATTATATTTTTTGAAATAATTCATTATTATACTTAATTATTAATGTAATATGTTTTTTGGTTTCATAGGTTTGACTTGGATAATTGTGTCGGTCGGAGCGCTTCCGACACAATTAAGAGCCATTTCGTCGAACCTCACTACAACTGGAGCAGAGTGTCGCAAGAGACGTTTGACACCTAGTACAAATGCTTCACGGTAATATTTTTTTACCTTCTTTCCAATTGTAATTCGTTAATTATTTTAAATTTAATCTTAATTTTATATTGTTTAATTTTTTGTTTTATTTTGCAGCAACGGTGGAACTGGGACATCAGGATCAACGAGACGGTCTGGGAAGCGTTCCGTCTGAAGGCGCAGAAACGCCTAGTCAACATCGTTTCCGATAAGAAGCGGAAGTGGGAGACCGACGGCGACGACGCAAAGCCGAGTCCGATGTCCACTTCCTGCTGGAACGGGTTGAAGGCATATTGGATGGACCCGCATGTCCAAGACATAGCTGCTAAGTGTTCGGCCGTTCGAAACCGGGTCGGTCCTGATGGTCCTGCGTAGCACACTTCTGGCCAAATATCATTTGCGGGAAGACGTTTAATGATCGTAAGTAATTTTAATTATTTAATTATTTCTATTTTTCAATTATTTACATTTATATAATATATTTTTAAATATATTTTTACTAATGTTTAATTGAAACTTTTTTGGTAGGCCGAGGAGAACGGAGGAGAGCTTCCTCCAATGACGAAGCTCTTCGAGACCACTCACCTGAAGAGGGACGGGACTTTTGTAGATGCTCGGTCAGAGGACATCTACAATGCCGCTATTCAGAGGATCGCCGAGCGGGAAACCCAGGCAACACCTGACGGTACTATCCAAGTAACTTTGACCATCCTCGAGCAAGACCAGATCTTCGAGGAGGTATGATTGATTTCAAAATTTTTTAAAATTTATTATATTTAGTACTTAATTATCTGTATATATATGATCTAACGTTTTTATTTTTATTTGTAGGTTGCTCCGAAGAAGAAGGGCCGCACCTTAGGGATGAGCTCTATTAGAGACTGTCCCGCCGCCTCGTCTTCCGGATACCGCACGCAGGAGGATCCGAGTCAACTTCGTCAGGAGCTTGCTACGGCCAATGCTGAGATCACCAGTCTACGGCATGAGCAAGTGGCCCATAAGCAGGAGCTCACCGAGATGAACGGCCTCTTCGACATCAAAGCGGCAGCGGTTCCGCAGTTGGCCACCGCAATCCAAGAGAGGCAACGGCGAGCACGCAGGATTATTGCGGATGGTACTTCCGGTGGACCTTCTGACCAGCAGACCCAGGGTCAGACTTCGGATCCCGTAGTGCAGACGGGAAACAACGGTACAGCAGCAACGGACGGACATGACGGAGAGCCTCCTCGAGACATCGATCTCAACCTCAAGGATTATGAAATTACTTTATAGATTAGTTTTTAAAAAAAAAAAAAACAATTTGTATTTAATTTTGTATTTTAATTTATGAATTATTTTCGAATTTAAATTTTAAATTATAATTCGTTTTATTTACTTTTCATTTATTTGATTATTTTAAAAATTCAATAATTAAATTAAAATTGAATTTTAATAATTATTTTTCTAATTCGACGTAAATTCGTCGTAAATTTACGTTGAAGTAAAGGCAAATAGTTTACGACGAATTAACGTCGATATAATTTTACATCGACTTTACGTCGATATTTTACAACGATTTTACATCGACCTATAATAAATTTATTTGACTCTTGCGAAATAGATCGTCTCGTAATCGTTATAAATCCGATGTAATTTTACATTAATTTTACGTCGTTGTTGTGTTAAAATTATTTTGTCGTACTTTCGTTGGAACATTTACGTCGTTTTTACGACGAATTGTTCCCGACGATGTTACGACGATTTCCTTGTGTTGGCAATTTTTACGACGATTTTACGATGATTTCTCTTTTACGACGATTGTTTTACAACGATTTTTCATTCGTCGCTAATTCGACGCAAATGGCTCATTACATCGATTTTACATCGATATCTTCCGACGTAAAAAGCGTTCTTTCTTGTAGTGTTCATTGGCTGGTGGAGCATGGAAGATGCTGCAAATGCCAAAAGACCTCAGCAGCACCAGTAGCGCCTCAGCAGAACCCACTTGGAGGGTGGAGAGGTTTGTCCACGGTGCTGTCCGCC